CCCCCCCCCCCCCCCCTTTTTGACTGTTGCTGAGCGCTGACCACAAGCGTTCACACTTGTACATTGTTGTTGAACGTAACTGAACAACTTTCTGAAAATCTTCTGACAACTACAGGCTCTTCCCTAAGTAATTGGTACAAGTTACATTAACCCTGTAGTAGATTTTAAGTTAATTTTACAGGTGATGTCTCTGAATAGCACATTTCTGTTTGTTTATTAAAGTTCTGTAAAGGCTATCATGTGCCAGGTTTTCTGTCATACAGTTTATTAAGATCTTTTACAAATAAATATTTAAACAGAGATTGGGTGTATGAATGATAATTTTTTTAATCTCTGTGATACATGTATTTACGGGGGAAAACATTACCCTGCACTTTAGATGTGAAAGGTGTCAATCTGTTAATGTTTCTGTAGAACTGAAATTGGAAGTTTTATGCTGTATCACAACACTTAAATAATCTTTCACTGGGTCATAAAAACAATGAGTTTTACTGAACAAGGTTATAGCATCCAATCTATCAATTACCATAGGTGGTGGTATTCTTCAGATAAATTATTACTTTTTTTTTTCCAAGTGGCTCTGACAGGCTTAGCCTTTTTTTTTAGTTATTGTTTGACACCAGTGGAACTTTTTTGTTCCTGGCTTTTTGATTCTTAAATTTAATGCAAACGTTCTCAAATAAAGTGAAAATAATATTTTCCCTAGAAGTGTTTTCTTTGTGAAGGGCTATGAATATTCAAAGTTGCTGTTATTTGCCCAAATCTAAAATAGCTGCCTTTGTTATCATAAGCTTTTTGGCTGAACTGTAGTGATCTGTTGGATAAATGTCTGAAAAAAAATAGTTATTTCCTTTGCTTTCTTATTTTCTGGTGATCGGATGTGGCTGGTATTTTCTGGACTTATCTTAGTCTTTCAGCTTGGAAGAGTAACAAATTCATGCATTGTGGAAATAAATTCTATAGTGGGATCCGTGAGGACTTGTTGAATTATTTTCCTTTCAAGTTTTGTGCTTTCAGGAGTTACTGTCAAAAGCCAGTAGTCCGCAGATATCTCTTTAACTCTGTTCTTCAGTTTATAGGTTCGTTTTCCATGCACATTTCCTTTTCATAAAGAGAACTTCATCGTTGTGTAAAATATTAAATAGTTCTTGCAGTGAAGAGCAACTCTAAAATCAAATTCGGCATAACCTGTTAGATGTGCAAACAGACTTTGATTGCCCAGGTGAAATAGGATGTATTTGTTCTGATTTCTTCCTGATGCCTGATACTGACATCAAAAAGCAATTTCAGACTGGTGGTCACTAACATATGTTTTTAGAAGTTGTAGCTATTGGGAGGTGATTAATAGTGTAACACACAACTGGTTAAAATAGAAAGTCAAGTCAGAGAGGTATGTGGTGATTTTTTTTTTATTATTATTACTTCATTGATTTTTTTTTTTTCCCCCTGACGTGGTAGAATTTGAAAGTGCATTCTTAGGGGACAGAGGAATGTGCTGCCTAAACTGTGAAAGATACCTGGTGTAGGATACCAGTCAGAAGGACTTAGATGGAGTTTAAGGTCTGTAAATCTGGATGTGGTTGCTTAGTTGGTGGTTTTGTTATAATTTTAGTGACTTCTGCCTGAGGTTTCCTCAGTTCACGTGTGTTCCCTATGCCTTCACACTGTTTCCCTTTGTTTTGTAAGCCGCAGTCTGGTTTAGTTTCTAGTACTAAAAAACTTTCAGACCAAACTTTCAGCCCTGATTGTAACTTTGTAGCCTCACGGCTTTGAAGCAGTGCCATAAACTGGTGTAAAGTAATTCAAAGGAAAACATACCTTATAAATAGCTAGATAAATTTCAATTTTTGTAAGTATCAGAATATTTCCTTCTCCTACACCATTGTTAGTCTCATCTGTCCTCTCATACCTGAATTATATACTAAATGGGATACCTGGGATTCTGCATAGCTCAGAGTTAATGCTAAAGAAGCCTTTAGGAAGTGGAATATAAGGTAATTACAAGGCAGTTGGGGTTTTTTCAATAATTATTTTTGAAAGGTGGAAAGCAAGGAGGAGAGAGTGGTATCCTGCAGATGATTCTAGCATGCATGCTTCCCTCCTGTTGGCAGTCTGCCCATTAAGGCTTCACTTCTTACAGTCTGGTCCTTCCACTGATGTTAGGAGCGTTCTTATATGTGTCCTAAGACTTAGCCTTTGCCCACCGGAAGTTATTTTATGCATTGTTCTGTGTGTGAAAGAAAACACAGGATTACCATGAGCGAGATACAAGATCTGCTATGTGATGAAACCTCACTGAAAGGGATTTACGTTCAATACATTGAATTTACGTCAGTAACACGTGACATAGAACAAGTCTGTTATGCTCAATCTATTCCGCAGCTGTGAAATGACAGCATTAGGTCAGTCCCTAGCACTTTGCAGCTGAGATCCAGATGTTGAATCCAACCAGTAAAATACTGGTTTAAATGCATTCAGACTGCTTATAATCAAACCATGATAGTGAACATAGGCCTTGAATGTTACAACTGTATGTTTTTTTTTTTAAAGGAGCATGAGGAGAAAGACTTCAAGCACAGAGGAAAGAGCTGTGTAGTCAGATAGCCAAAGGAGCCACCTGATGCACAGCTCCTCAGCTATGTATTGAAGTGCTGTTTGAGTAGCATGGAGTTTTCTTAACTCTTATGTTTGTTATTTCATTTCACTATAACTCTCTACTTATTTTTTAACCTAAGTAAGTTATTCTTAAGTTATGTACAAATTATTTACCCCAGTCTTTATATACCTTTACGTTACTTTCTTGTAGGCCAAACTAATCTGAAGAGTCCACAGGATATTCAGGTCTATGCTGTAAATACAAATTTCACTCTAAGGTGGAACTACACTGGGAATGATACCACTGTGACATTTTCAGCAGAATACCGGTGGTAAGTAATAACTTTATTCTCAGACAGAAATGTCTGATGCTGATTTGTGTAGAAGAGCCTATTAATTAATTACTATGCTGCTTGATACTACCACGTAAAATTTCTAGAGACTTTTTGAAATCCAGAAAGTAGAGGCCAGGAAGACTAAGTCTTGAAATTAAGTGAAATCCTAGTATTGTCCTTCGCTTGTCTAATTCAAATGTAAAATTAGATTGTTCGCTGATAGCAACGTGTTATAAATGCAGAAACACACTTGGTAGTAAAGCTTAATACTAGAGTGGTTCTTTGAGAAGACTAACCAGTACACTTAGAAATGTGGTCTTTAGATTTATTTATTCTCTGTTGTGTTTTTTTAATTCAGCTACATTGTGGCCACACACACAGAGAATTTGACAGAATTTTCAGTGTAGCTTTTGAATAACTTCTTAGTCTTTATGAATCCAGATTTATCATCTGCAAATTTTAATCACCAGATGAAACAATTTAATTTTTGTTCTTAAATGTTTGCTTTGTTTTCTTCAGCTGTTTCATGTACCCATACTTATGGATACACATACATATACATTTGGTATTTTGTGGCACTTTACTGACAAGTAAATATTAAAAAACACTTCTAAGATAAAATCACTTAAGAAGTTCTTGATTTTAGGATTTCCTAGTGTGTGATTTTGGAATTAAAGCAAAATAGCTCACTTTCTTCAATGTGTAGGTGAGAAACAGCTGCTTTGAAAATGGTTTTCTTTTAAAAACATAATACTGGTCTGAAAGATAAGATAGAAGTTGAGAATAAACAATTACTACTTCAAGTCTATGCCTCTTTTTTTTTTGTCAGGACGTTTTTAATCTCTGTATGAAATGTCTTAAATAAGGTATGGATGTCTGTAAACTCACAAGAAAGATAGGTTCTGTGAAGCTAATTATCCCAACACTTATTGCTGAACTCCATTTTTCTCCTTTGTGTTTTTCTTTTCCCCTCATCTATATTCCTTGCTAATGTTAGAATTCGTTTTTTTTCTGCTTTTATGCTCTTTTATGCACTTCTTGACATAAAGACTTTTAAATTTCTTCCTGTGAATTATAAAATCATTGCCAGACTAGACCGTGTAGTAAGGATATAATTCTGGATTTTGACAGTTCTTTGGTACTGTTTTCTGGCGCTGTGTGTTTACATGGTGAATAAAGCAAAGTGGTATCAGACTTTGCAGACTCATTGTTAACCTTTGGTGGTGATAAGGCTAAACTAATAAATTAATAGATTAAATTAATGAATTAAATGGCAATATGAATTCCAGGGTAAATAAGTAGATAACACTGGTTACACTGGTGCTGGTGATAAAACAGCATTAAATGGTGTGGCATTTATTAGCATTAAGAAGTAATGGGAAAAGAATCTCAAAACTTAAATTGTGCATTTGTTTTATTTTTTCTTACAGGTTTGAAGATTTTGAGACAAATGAAGCGGAATGGAAGGAGTTGCCTGGGTGTCAAAATGTTACTCGCATGGAATGTGACTTTTCCTCAGCAATAACCGAATACTATGATACACATCATGTGCGTATAAGGGCGGAAAGAAGGGAAGAAGTATCTCCATGGTCTAGCATTTTTGAAATGGTTCCATATTACATAGGTATGAGCTCCGTATATACGGTAATATTTTTTGTTAAATGTCCTTTAGCACATTATTGTGGCGAAAATGCCTGTGGTTTCCATTGCTAGTAACAACATGAGCTAGTGGTTTTCTTAGTTTTAAGGTAATATAAGGTATATGCAGGTCATGGAATGTTATGATTATCTCTTTTCTGGAAAGGGTAAAGAATTCTAACTGATGCTGGTTTTGTGACAGAATTTTCTGTCACGCTGTATTTTTTTAGATTTCAGAAAATTTCTTTTTGACAGCAGACTTTTCTGGAAGTTTTTTCCTGACCCTGTGGCTTTTCCGTAGTTAGTGTAGTGTGGTACTGAAGCCTTCCCTCGATGTTGGACTGATTTGTTTGAGCTAGGTTTCTTGCCTTTCACGTTTTAGAATAATTTACACTGATTTTCACTGCAGATTCTGAACAACATTCACTAGTAATGCTGCATTTTAACTCTACTGCTTTTAGAACCGGGTAACAGTGGTTCTTTGTTAGGTTAGTTTTCTATTCGATACGAAGATCCTATAGACAATTACTGTGATCATGTTACTGCCTCAGAAGAATTAAAAATAGGATACTATAGGCAGTTATTGTGGTTTTATTAATGTAAATAGTCATGCTTGACTTTTTTTTTTCTTTAATATTTGCAGCTCAGATTGGTCCCCCAGGTATAGAGCTGCAGTCCACAAATGGAGTCATAAAAATTAAGGTTTCTCCTCCAGAAGCAAATCAGGTCCGAAAAATGTGGATAACTCATCTAAGTTTTAAATATAATCTAGTTATCTGGAAAAATTCATCAGATGCAGAGGTATGATCCCTTTTTAAAAATTATTTTTAACCTTAATGTAACTGTCAGAGATGTACTTTTAATTGCTTCATGCTCGAAAACGGAATTGTTTGCATATGTAACTGTGTATAACTGTTGCTATGCAGTTTAAAAGTTGGGAGGGGGTGTTTTCTTGAGCTTTTTTGGTTTTATTTTTACTACAGGATTGTATGAGATATTTTGTGATAAGAGCTTGTATTTCTGTTGAATGCTGGAGCCACTTTCCAGTGCATGAGGAAGAAGGTGAAACCGTCGCAGATGGGTTAGAGCAGGAGCCACTCTCAGCCAGCAGGAACAGGGAGGGAAAAGTGTTCAAGGCTGTGCAAAGAAGCATTTACAGTAAGCATAGATATAGGGGAGGGGACAGGTAAGAGGCTAACTCAATCTTGCTCAGACCATGTAGCTGTCAGTACAGTGTCCTGTGTCATTAACCAAATTCTTTGTTTTTATACGGTAGGTTGGGGGTTTTTAGGGATTCTTTTGAGGTCTGGTAATTAAAAACATTCTTTTAGGGGAATGGGTGCAAGCTAGGTTAGGGTAGGAACTGGAGAGATATGTGTGTTCATTTTGAAGACCTAGCCACAATTGTTACACATCAAGGGGGAAAAAAATTTAAAGTACAAGCTGCGTACAAAGGTCAGTCATTGAAAAGTCTGGTAAACCAAAAGCAGGGAGGTAGCGGGGAGGGGGGGGGTGTTTGTTCAATGAGCTGAGGGACAGAAGCGCGCTAGTTCTTTTCTGGGCATGTGCCTGCATATTTGTGTGGTGAGTTATGCGTCATGTAGAGCGGTGCTGCGATCCCTCCCCACTTTCATGTGTTACAGGAGCATGACATGTTCCTTCCTCTCAATCACGTGGCTAAGCTGTAAGCTTCCCTTTAGCATTTATTCAGCTCATATGTTGTCCTTCATTCCTTTTTTGTCATTTTGAATGGCGTATTATATAAATGGGCTAAAACCTGGGGAAGAAAAAAGGTACTTTAAAAAAATCAGCTCATCAGGAAGAACAGTTATCTTCATATGCTGTTTACAATTGTTTCTTACAGTTCAGAAGTCAAAGTATTTTTCCTACTGACACAATTGATTATTTTGCACCAGACACTACCTATTGTTTGAAAGTTCAAGCAACTCTTCCTCTGGAGTTGCAAGAAGGCTTATTCAGTCCCGTTCGTTGTATAAAAACTACCCATAAAGGTACAGAGTAAAATAGTTTTATCTTAAAATGATTACTCAAGATTAAACTGTTGGAAAGTAAATTGTTCTTAAGCAGTAGAAATATGCAGAAGTGCCAGGTTCCTACTCATTTTGGTATAACAGCAATCTTGACAGTTATGTGTGTTTTCTATTTTAAATCGGTAAAAAATATGCCACCTATCAATGTTAGAGTTTTAATAGTACAGAAAGGTTTTTGCTCTGAGGCAAATTTTGTCTATTAATTTGGACTGCAAAAGCTACTTTCTGTATTTCGGAAAACTGGATATTTTTTACTTTGTGGCTTTGAATCAGGAGGAAAAGGATGTGTATGTAGGCAAAACAAAAGCCTTTTGTATACTTGGCTCTAAATGAATGCATATAAAGTTGAGCTAAGCTTAAAAAAATACTGTTTTTATGCAAGCCTTCTGGAGTTTATTATTACAGATTCTGAAGAATAGCTTAGTGGCAGTTTGCCACCAGTTGCTTGTTTTGCGTGTCTAAATTTAAATTCTTTTTTGTGCTGTTCAGATGTCAGTCGAAGTACTTTTAAATGTTTATTTCATGAAAAAATAACACTGTGAGAGTGTAGAAAGTCAAACATTAGGTTGAACAGGTGGTACATCAAAATTACTTTATGTTTACATGTGTATATTTTGCACATTTTTCTCATCTAGTTGTTGCAGAACCAGTTTATTTCTACTAATGTCAACGTTTCTGTACTTAATTTTTTGAATTGATTTTTAACTAGTTTTTTTACTAAAGGCTTAATATGCTATATGTATATATCACAGACTTTGATTTGCCATCTTTATAATGAAGACAGAATATTTTTTAATTATTGAAAGTGTACCATGAGCACTTACGTGAGAAATGCCCATTCAGTGAGAAACTGCTGTACATAATATAAAGCTTTTCAGTAACTGTGGGTTTCCTCTTCATTTTGAGCAGTGAATGACTTACTCTGTGCAACAAATGTAAGTGTTCTTGCTTTGAATATGGAATTTCACCTGCATTGGAATAATCAATATGAACACCATGTGAGCTACAATGTGCAGTATCTCATGTGAGTTAAAGAATTTCCATGTCTCTGTTTAGACAGATTTTGCATTCTAAATGCCGTCCATTGTATTTTGCAAATAGCTATTAGAAGTTAAAGTGAAATACTTAGCAAAAGTGCTTAATGTATTCATTGAAACGTTGGGTACCTCATCTGGATGCAGTGTGGCTTTTAAAAGGAGTGCATGTAACATCATATCCTAGAATTTCAGGGTACTAAGCTTCTTTTACGAGTGTTAAATACCTGATGGAATGTACTACTAAATATATGCTAAGTAACATTTTTAAAAGATGTGAAGTTTACATTGCTTCATATCATTTTTGTCTATGAAGAAATTAGATACTAGAAGTGAGCAAAAATGCAGGTGTTGAAGGTTTCGATTGTCAATATATTTGATTACTTTTGGTCAGATCCCAACATGGAAAAAACCCGTCATGTCTAAAAACCTTTATCTTAATATCCAGTTGTCACACAAATATTGTGGCCAGCATCTAAATGAAGAGGAGAGATACCTCTAGCGTTCTTTTGGAATTCTTTTTGCATGACAGAAAAATAATTGACTAACTATATGAAAAATCTTAATTTGTATTTTAAAAATTTCTGAAACAGATATATATTTTTTTCTGTAGAGGCTTGATTAAAACACTAATTTGTATTTTCTGATCCAGTTAGAAAATACTGGTATTTAGAATACTGTTTTTTCATTTATAGCTGAAACAAGGAAGCTAAGAGGCCCATTCTTCCAAAAATAAAAATCAACCTATGTAGCACAAGTGAACTTGCTTTTTTTTTTTTTTTCTGAGAGTTCAAGGATCTCACATCAAAAACTTAAAATATCTCTTGCAGGGGATATCTAAAGAAACTTCCTGATGATTACTCAGTGAAGTGGCTCAATGTACCTGGATGTGAAAACATCACTGATACACAATGCAATTTCTCATCTATCATCACTACTATTTCTGGATTTTATTATCTCCGTGTGCAGGCCATGAATGAATATAATAAATCATGTTTGTCTAATGAAGTAAAAGTAGATCCTCTGATAACAAGTAAGTAAATATATTTTCTTAAATTTTCATTTCTCAGCAAACTTGTACCTAATGTTATTATTTGCAAAAAGAAACTTGCTATATTAATGAAACTGAGTACATAGCTTCCCTACAGAAACCATATTGGGAATCCTGGCCTCATCAAGTTAAACTGGAGTTTTTCCACAGTCATCTGTCTTCAGCACAGCCAGTGTTTCACTACATTTAGAATCATATAATTTGCTTTACAAAATTAAACCACAAAGCATTATATGGCATTTTATAATCTCACTGTATGCTACGTTAATCGCTGTGTGACATTGTACTGGAAGTATCCCTAGTTTGAGTTTTGCCATTGACAGGGAGAACTTCTTGGTATCTCAGAAGAACGATGCCAAAGTCAAGTAATTTTGGAATCCACTGCCTCTATTTTCTTGTGCATCCACTCTCATCTCCTCCTTCGCTCTACCCCTGCACAGTGCCCCCCTGAATTTTGTGTCGAAGCAGTATTACATTGACATAGAACCCTGAAGAGCTTCATGAAAAAGCAATCTTCAACGATAGTGACATCCAAGTCAAAAATATGTAATGCTCTCCAGAGTGAAATTGTAGAAATTTTTATCTTTGTTGCACTTTTGGGATTTTTTTGGAAATGTGACTTTCCTAAAATGTTTGACTTCATAAAAGCTATCAATCATAAACGTCAAGAAATGTTTATCTAATATGTAGGGTAATATTCCATTACCTTCCGTATTGAAGACAGAATCAGTATCTATTCTATGTCAGCTTTCCCTGTCCAAGCTCTTGGTAGTTAGATAATTCTTTAATAAGGTAACAGTGACCTAGGTAAATAATTCAACAAAGAAAACAAAAACTGTAATGCTTCTCATTTTTCAGCTATACTATAACTGTGAAAGAAGGTGTATGTGAAAAAGAGGGCCTTGTATGCTGATGAGATTAAGAAGTGTTCAGTAGTTGCACTTTGACTTGCATAGAGTTAATCCCACTGTCTGTGTATTTTGTGGCACTGAAACTTGCAGAAGTGACATATGAATATGGAAAGAGAAAATAATTGAAATATTTCTCAGCACCTGAGATTCTGAATAAAGCTAGTCAAGTTAGACTTTTAAGTATATGTTCCTTAAAAGTTGTTGTAGATTTAAATTACAGTATTTTATGCAATATTTTTATTTGTATTCTTTCAGTCTTATTTTTAATTTATTTTTTTTAAATGTCTTAAGATGAAATTGGCCCTCCTGGTGTAAAGGTGGACATCAGCAATGTTTTGCTCCATATCCAGATTTCTCCTCCGGGAGGATCTGAGAGTGAAGTCATGAGGGACCATTATGACTTGTCTTACCGGATTCTGTATTGGAAGAATTCATTGAATAATGAGGTATGAACAAGTTAAATACTTAAAACAGTATATAAAATTTGTTATTACTTAAATACTGAGTTTGAGTTCTCCTCAAGAAGCCTATTTTCAAAAGGGGCACATATGTGGTGTATCAATCATGCAATCAATTTGTGTGGGGTTTTTTTTCTGAAAGATTCTTTTAAAAATCTGGTCAAGACAACTTTTATCACAAAATAATTGAGATTTTAGTCTTTTTCCATTGATAAGGCTGTATGTAATGATTTGCAGCATCGCACAGAGGTTTGTACTGCTAAATGACTCACTTTTAAATAGAGGTTGTTCTTATGATGCCATCTTTCTTACAGTATGACTCTGTGCGCTGTCTTAATTAAGGTAGCTTCCAGCCCCTCAAATTTGCTGAGCCACTCTCCATCATCTTTGAGAGGTCCTGGAGGACAGGAGAGGTGCCTGAGGACTGGAGAAAGGCAAATGTCACTCCAATCTTCAAAAAGGGCAAGAAGGAGGACCCAGGGAACTACAGGCCGGTCGGCCTTACCTCCATCCCAGGAAAGGTGATGGAGCAGCTTATCCTGGAGGTCATCAACAAGCAAGTGGAGGAAAAGAAGGTTATCAGGAGTAGTCAGCATGGATTCACCAAGGGGAAATCATGCCTGACCAATCTGATAGCTTTCTGTGATGGCATGACTGGCTGGGTAGATGAAGGGAGAGCCGTGGATGTTGTCTACCTAGACTTCAGCAAGGCTTTCGACACAGTCTCCCATAATATCCTCCCAGGGAAGCTCAGGAAGTGTGGGCTGGATGAGTGGTCAGTGAAGTGGATTGAGAACTGGCTGAATGGCAGAACTCAGAGGGTTGTCATCAGTGGTGCTGAGTGTAGTTGGAGGCCGGTAACTAGTGGTGTCCCCCAGGGGTCAGTACT